TTTTGTGTGCAGTGCCTTGGGGAGACGCCTGACTCTTTCTCCCAGGCCTTCTGCCCTCCTTCCCACCCCAGCTTTTTCTGCCCTCTGCTCCTCCCTAGCAAAGAGGAGCAGGGTATCCAGGGCTTCCAGTGTCTCAGCTTGCACAGCTGGTAATTAGTCCTTTGTGTCCAGCTAAGCGCCTTTCATCTACCCCACCTGCTGGTGTCTGCTTTCCCCATTAGCATCTCCCAGCTCCTTGCTGAGCCCTCCACCCTCTTTGTGGCCAGACCATCTTGTTTTTCGAGATGGTGGCCGGGCAGTGCACAGACAGGGAAGGGCCACAAAGACTAGATTTGCTCACATTTTCCATGGTAGGTGCCAGGCAAGTCTTTCTTATCCCCACCCCAGAGGCAGCTAGGTTTAAGTCACCTGGCTTAAAGGCAGACAGCTGATAGCTAGGTCTCCAAATTTGGGGCCTTTAGAGGCCTAGTTTTGTCTTTCAGTTCCTCTCTGTTCATGAAATGGGAGCTGGCTCACCAGCAGCTCTATAGCCCAAGCAGTCTCTAGAAACCTGGCCTCAGCCCCACAGCTCTCAGCACTGAGGCCACTACCATTGGTCAGCTAATCCAGTAGCTCAAGCCTCCCTTAAAACCCCGTTTTCGTTGTCCTCGTAATTATGTAGCTTGAGTATAGTAGCTGTTGAAATTTTCATTAAATTTGTGTTTATTTAAGTGACATGCAAAATTTGGCCACCTTGCAGGGGCTCAGTTAGCCACCCATGACTAGTGGCCACTGGGCTGGATGGTACAGACAACATTTTCATTACAGCAGAGCACTCTCTTGAACTACACAAGCCTTCACAGCCAGAAACTGCAATATGCTGCCATCTACATTACATCGGTCGCCTCCTGGATCACCCTAAAACTTTACCTTTCAGTGGAATCTTCTCAAGTTCCCAAAGTGCCAAGACCCATTGTGATGAGGGGGCATCTGGCAATGATACCTCTACAGAGGTGTCCTCTGTGAAATTCACCATCACCAGGGTTACACAACATGCCGCTTATGCAGGACTTAAGACGTTCTTGGCACATGTATGATTGACAAGATTCTATTCCATTTGCGTAGGTGGGAACTTGCTGCTCATTAGTTCTGTCCATGCCATCATCCTGGGCATGCCCATGTGACAACTGGTTGGGATAGGGCTGAAGAAAATCCAGTTGATTTCTGGATGCTTCTAGACTTGCCCTGCTGGATGATGGAAGGAGCCTCCCATATCTCTTTAGAAGCGTCTTTACTGTAGAAGGGTTTTCCAGTCTTTTGTTTGCTTGTTTTCAGCCCAGAGAGGACAGGGCACTTTAGACTTGAAGGTTTAACCAGAAGCAGTTTGTTTCTGGAAGAGAGGTATTTCTTTGTTCTGTGTCAGGCTCTGCCGGGCAGCCCAGAATGCAGCACAGTGTTTGCCTACTGCCCCAGCCATACCTGTCATGTGCTTGCAAATCCAATGAGAGTTCCTTCTTTCTTCTTCTTCTTTTTTCATTGTCTTCCCACCCCATCAAATTGTAGGTGCAACCTCTCATTTTTCTGCTGCCTAGATGATTAAAAACCATGACTTAGTGGAAAAATGCTGACCTCCTCAGGGTCAGGCTCTTAAGCAGCTGTCGGAGATAAGATTGTGCTGGCAGAAGGCTCAGAAACACTTCGCAAAGCTTTCTGTCTTTTCCCAAAGAAACAAAAGAAGCTGTTCTGGTGCAGGATGTGTTCTTTTGTTGTTTATTTTTGGAGAGAGCTATAGTTTTCAGAGACACAAATTTGTGTGACCTGATAATAAAATAAAATCTCTGATGGAAAGATTAGAGTAATTGTTACAGTCTTTTTTTTTTTTTTTTTCAAATACAAGCTTTGTAAAAATGATTTTTCCTGAGCTGGGCAGTGTGGTGCATGCCTTTAATCCCAGCACTGGGGAGGCAGAGGCAGGCCTGCATCTGTGAGTTTGAAGCCAGCCTTGTCTACAGAGTGAGTTCTAGGACAGGCTCCAAAGCTATACAGAGAAACCCTGTCTCAAAAAACAAACAAACAAAAAAAGGTTTTAGTTTTTTCCTTTTTAATGATTCTTGCTTTGAGCTGCTTACAGTATAAACATCTTTGGCAACTACCACAATATCAGCTGTCGGATGCTCAGATTGCCCCCCCCCCAAGGACTTAAAGGCCTGACTATGGAGCTCTTGGTATGAAAGCCATTGATTGTTATTATTTTCACCACTGTGTTAGTAGAACTGCTTCATGCTTGGAGAGTGGGTACACTCCAGACCTGTGGGGATTGTTGCAAAGGAGACGTTATGATTCGAATTTTGCTTCTGTCCTCAAAGCATTGACTCATTTCTGTATTTGTCATCTTGGACCTATTGAGTGTGATGAGCAGAACACTTGATTTCTCTGGAGGAGAAACTGAGGTGGGAGCTTGAGAGGACATGATGTCAAGAGTATAATAAGGATCCAGATTGTGTGGCTCAGTCCAGTGTCCTCAAGCAGATACTTCATTGAAGGCCTGTAGGCATCTGAGTCCCAGAGCAGCTGATTTCTAGAAATGTGGCCTTCATTTGCTGGCTTTAGGGATCAATTACTACCTACTTCATACAGTTCTTGTGAAGACAGAGATCCTGCCCAGTAATGTCCTCATCTACTGTCAGCATCACTCTTCTAGTTTGTAGTAGAATCTCCTGTTCTGTTGCTGCCCTGGGCCACCTGTAGTCCTTTCTGTTATACAGTGGCTTGGGTGTCATTAGAATCAGGCTCTTATGTCTCCCAGCCATGCCACAAGCTGTCCTGTGGAAGGACCAAAGGCTTCTTTTTAGTTCTCACAGCTACGTCTCAGGTCCAGAAGGATGAAGAGTCTAGGCTGGGAAATCTTGGGGCTTCTATTTATGAGACTTAATGTTTATTGGACAGTCATCCTTGTCCACAGGCTGGAGCCTATATCAGCCAATAGGACAGTGGGGACCTGAGTCATGGCCCCCTTGGTCAGTTTTCCATTTAGGAAATTAAAGTGATAATATGGATCCCAGTGTATCCCAGTTGAGGATGAGGTTTGAATCCTGGTTCTGCCTTGTGACCATTAGAATCCCAGATTCTTGCTATCCCTAAGTGATGGGGATATCTCAGTGAAGTGATAGACATCTGGTAGACCTGTGTAAACTGAAGTGTGCTTCCCACTCACTGGGGAAAACCTGCATCACACCTGAAGCTCATGCTTGGAAGGTTCCTCGTGTGCTCACCCTCAGGAAGAGCTCAGCTCCATAGAAGTGAGCAAACACCCTCCGCACAAAAAACCTTAGCTGACCTACTCTCCACTCACACTTGTTAATGTGAATGTTCCACGGAGTTCAAGGGCAAACATCAGAGTAGGGGGCATAACGGGCAGGAGACAGTGGGCAGCTTCCCCAGGCCTACCTGACTTACTGGGCCCAGCCCCTCCCTGATTTGTTTTCCTTCTGGCTGTTATTACCATACTTTTTATGAGCTCTTTTAAGTCTTTAATGATGCATGCATGCTCCTGTGGCTGGCTTAAGGCTTAATCCCAAGAAATAGGCCTTTATTGGATAAATGGTTAATAATCATTGGTCTGCAGGGATCAGGACGCTTTGTGAGGCCTGTGATTCTCAGAAGCTCCATGTGGCCTGTGACCAGGTATGAGATTGTATAGGAGATCAGATACCCAAGGAGTACCAAATAACTGGGGATGGATAAGCATTTCTTCTACCCTCTGGGTACAGCAAAGCCAGCAGCTTCCCAGGATTTCTCCAAACTCCAAACATCTCTTTCCATCCACTTGAGTTTGACTTGAACAAACTCTGTGACCTTCAGTGAAGTCTCCTTTCCTCTCAGGGGCCTTGGTTTCCTGTCTTTCAGACAAAGAGGTGGGAGGAGATGGCCTGGAAGGTGGCAAGTGTCAGTGATCTGGTAAGCCCCAGATTTCCCAGACCAAAGCTCCTCTCTCCTCTTGGGTGTGTCACTGAGGGCTACGAATGGCAAGGGACCAGCATCCCAGAGGATTAAGTACTTAACTACTGGGCAAAGAATTGGGTCAGCTGTAGTCACAGGGCAGTGTGTGCAAAGGGAAGCCAGACTTGGCTCCTAGTTTTATAGCCTGGCTCAGTGTCTGGTTTGGTCGGCACTGGACAGAACCCACAGTAGGCATTAATAAATGGAAGCTCTTCCATGGGACTCTGGAAGAAGATTTGAGTCCTCCAGGTGTACAGCCAGCAGGAAGACAGGAAATTCTCATAGGTGAAACAAAGGAAGGCTCCTTGGATTCTGGTCCCAGCTAGCTTGTGACTAGAGGCCTTGCCTTGATCTGAGTTTAGCCTTGACATGGCAGTTGCAATAAGATCCAAAGGGGCAGGTGATACAGGAGCGTGGACGAAAGCACACCTGACCCTGAGTCTTATTTAATTTCAGGCTAAAGGGGCCTGGAAAGGCGTTTGCACAAGCCTGGGAGTTTTAACATAATGTAAGCAACACTTGCTTCTGACTATGTCAGTTTAGCATCATGAAGAGCCCGGTTGTTTATTTTTTCTATGCACCAATAATTATTCTGGCAGGAACAAAATGTTTCCATGTCTGTTGTATGATGCAGATTGTAGGCATAAAAAGCTTATTCCAAAGCAACACCTGGCATACATGATTTTCTATTCTTTTATCTAGAAGTAAAACACTATGAGTAGAGTTACATCCCACCCTTTTGTTCAGTGGTATGGTCCACAAATTTTTAGCTTCAGGATTAGAAGGAAAGTCTGTGTAATGAATAGTTTTCCCTAGAACTTACTCCCGTGCTCCTTCCCTACACCTACAGTGTAAGGAAGAACATAATCCTTGGAAGATGGCCAGTATTCTCTCTCTCTCTCTCTCTCTCTCTCTCTCTCTCTGTGTGTGCATGTACACACACGTGAATGTGCGCACATGTAAGGAATCAAGTGTCTCTCTTCAGATATATATATATATCTTTTTTGCTCTTTAATTTTCAGATCTTTCCCGACCCATCAGACTTTGACCGCTGCTGCAAACTGAAGGACCGCCTGCCCTCCATAGTGGTGGAACCCACAGAGGGGGAGGTGGAGAGCGGGGAGCTCCGGTGGCCCCCTGAGGAATTCCTGGTCCAGGAGGATGAGCAAGACAACTGCGAAGAGACAACGAAAGAAAAGAAGGAACAGTAGAGTCTCTGCAGGCTCACCTGGGTCGTGCCAGCCAGCATACCTGAACTGTTTTTCCCATGGTGATGGAGGAAGAGAGTGAGCCACAATCATTCTGAAAAATGTCAAAAGAGGCTTCCGTTTTGCACCTGAAAATCACCGAGTCGGTTTTCTTTTCTTGTCTTTTTGTTTTGTTTTGTTTTGTTTTAATTCGTTGAGCAATGGAGCCCTCTGACAACTTGCAAGGCTGAGAAAGGAAGCTGCTGAGAACAGGGGTGTGGGTGGGGTTGTGGGGAAGGGGTGCTCTTCTAAGATCCCTATCTGAACTCTAGTGCCAGAGGCAGTGTGTATGTGGCAGTAGTCGGGGCTCTGGCTAGGGGTGGGGTGTGAGCAAATGAGCAAGAAAAATTTGGGGTTAAAAACAAAAACAAAACAAACCCCACATTTTTAAAGACAACTACAGCCAGGAAGTGCTTGCCAGCATTTGTTGGGGCATCTGACAACCAAGTTTTCATCCCCAGCCTTGTTGCTCACCACCACCAGCCTTTGCTTTCATTTCAAGTGTTGTGGCTACTACCCACAGAGAAACAGAACCAGGAGAAACTGCCTACAAAGCCAGCTGGAGGGCTACACAGTAATAGGAGAGGTCACCTGTCCTGCCCATGAACTCTGCCCCAACTGCTTCAGGCTCTCAGAGCCCCCAGGGACCTGGAGGCCTGTAAGGGATAGTACTTTTGAGTTTTTCTCCCTGTTTACCCTTTTTACCTCCCAATACATTGGGGAATAGCCAGAGCACTTCTGCCCTTGTGGGACATTCGAGGCTGCAGCCTGAACATGGAGAGCCTCCTTTTACTGCGGGTCTCCCAAGAGTCTCCATGGAGAAGAGTGATAGAGGGCTCAGCTCTTCCTTCTCCTTTGGCCACAGCAGTCAGGTGTACAGTCTCCAGCTTTGCTATGGACTGTCACCCATCTGATCTGCAGCAGCATCACTCCAGTGAGGTTCCCAGCCTGGCTCCTGTGGGAGCTAATCACAGAGCATGCTTTCTGGTTCGCTAGATGGCTAGTGGGCCAGGAATCTGGATGGTGCCACGTGAATATGCTGAGGTTCTCGCTCGATACCAGGTCTCCAGTGGAGTAGTTGTTACAGGGTCACTGCTACTCCCCGTATTGCTCCTGAACACAGGTCAGGGGATGACATGGGGTGCACTGGGGTATCCTTGTGGAATAGCAGCCTTCATTCCTTTCCCACCTCACCTGTTTCTGGCAAGGGCAACAGTTGCATGAAGAAGTTAAGATCTGGACTGAGCCTCTGATCGTAGCTCAGAAACTTTTGCAATAGCAGGTTAGAGGACATTTTTCAGAGCAGGACGGTTTGGTCAAAAGGTGGACTTAAAGCCTTCCTTGTGCTTCCCTCAGCCAACTGAGGCACTCACAATGTCTCCTCATGTCTGTTAGTCCAGGTTAACCCTTCCCCCTTTGGACTAGTGTGTTTAGCTGTATTTAATACCTCAAAGTCAGTGTGGCTCTGGGGCACGTTGGGGCAAGAGCGTGGGGGTGCGCTGTTGACACGGCATTCAGCAAGGTTTGGTTTTAGGATGCCGAAGGTCATCCCCCCACCCCCTGCATCTTCCCTCTGTCGTCTGCCTGTGATACACACCGATGGCAATAACTATTTCTGGCTCCCTCATAGAAGTAGGAGAGGGCTGCAGCCAACCCTGCCATGGGGGAGCCCCTCTCTCTTGCTCTCGCTCTGCTGTTTGGCTACAGAGATCTATTCATCCCACTCCCCTTCGCCCGCAGCATTTCTCATCCCTCACCTCCCTTTATGGACAGGTGTCTGGCCTTTTAAATTCCTGTGTTTTGGTGTTTTCTCACCCCTACCCCAATTATCTGTCTTGGTCTTGCCGTGTGATGGAAATGTGCTTGTAAATCCAGTATCAAATTGGCTTTGTGTATACGTGTCTTTATGGGGTGGTTTCTTCTTTTGCTGGTCACTAGACCATGTTGTACAACTGTGTACAGTCTGAGCAGGTGGGGGCTGACAGGTAATGCCAGGCCCCTCAGCAGTTGAGCCTGTTGGGGGGACCCAGCTGCTCTTGGACAAGTGGCTGAGCTCCTATCTGGCCTGCTCTTTCTCCTCCTCCTCCTTCTCCTCCTCCTCCTTCTCCTCCTCCTCCTTCTTCTTGTAATCTGTGTGTATTTCTAACTGATCGTATTGAAAGAAAAAAATCCTAGTATTTCAGTGACATTGCCTGTTGTGAGATGAACCTCCTGTGACTTCTGTCTGTTCTGTTTTGAGGCTCAGGGAGAAACTAGCATTTTTTTTTTCCAAACTACTTTTTGTCACTGTGACAGTTGTAAATAAAGTTTGAAAATGCTTTCCATTCTGGTCTGGATTTCTTTTTTTCCCTGTTGCATGGGGCTGGAGTTGGCTCAGGAGTAAGGGGACTTGTCCTGGAGAGGTCTCCAATGCATTTCTCCTGTTGGTTGGTCCATTACACTAACTCCTCACAGGAAACATGAATTAAAAAAGCCTGTTCATCCAAGTCCAGTGTAGTGAACTGATGATGAGTTTAGTGTTTTTTGTTTTGTTTTGTTAAATAGGAACATGGATGACCCTGAAGTAGCCACATCACTGAAAAGTCTCACTCTAGCATGAATGACAACTCCCCCACAGTTGAATAGATTCAGTCCTCTCTTCATTTAGCTCTCCACCCTCTGTGTATTCTAATAGCTCGAGAGACCACATTCAGTGGGGGGGGGGGGGTAGGATTACAGAAAAGTGAGAAGGAAACATAGGAGGTAGGGAGTGGCTGGACTCTCAGGGACTGGTATAAGGACCCTCCCCAGCTCCTCCTTCTAGGAGGGAACATCCACAAGCCTAACCTTGAGGGTCTCTGGGTGTGACCACAACTACTCTGATGAAGATAGTGGTGGTTGACACACTCAGGGGACAACATTCTACAGCTTGGCCTTTCCATGAAATGAAAGTCCATCCAACAGCTGGTGGGATGGAACCAACCTTTCCTCCGTTAGTTGTTCTCAATTTCTGATGCATATCAGAATTCTTTGAAGAATTCCATAAGCAAATGCTAGGCCCCTACTCCCAGAAACTTGGATTTTATTGGCTTGAAGTGGACTAGCCACCTGTATTTTCTAGACTGTCTTGGGGAGATTTTTAACATGAAGCCGAAGGTCTAAATTAACCTTTTAAAGGAAGGGAAACCCAGACATATCATAAGATTGTTCATAAAAGCTGGGGCTGGGGAGTGGCTGTACCTAGATATGAACACAGAGAAATGGAACATGGTCCCAGCCATTTGTCCAGTGCCCACTGCTTGTCAGACAAAAAGGAAAGTAAACAAGCTAGCAATGATCCAGGCTCTTGAAGTATATACTGTGTAAGTGTCAAATAACAGATGTAAGTTAGGTGCTCTGAGAATAGTTATCAGGTCAGTGGGCACATTAGGAAGGGCCTCAGGAAACATGAGGAGAATTTGCGGACCACAAATAACAGAGAGAGGAGAGATGGATGTGAATGGGAGAACGCTGCACACAGAGTGCCTGACTAGCACAGATGGAAATAAATAATATGATGAGTACTACCCAGCAATGGGGACCTAGCATAGTGTAATTTACATTTCAGCATAGTCTAACTCAGTGGGGAAAGGATGAGAGGAGGCAATGTGAGACTCTCAAAGACCAGAACAGGCTTTGTGAATGTCAGAGAGAGAGAATGTGATGCTTTGTAGAAAGAATTCTTGATCAGTTTCTACCCCGAGGCTGAGTGCTTTTTTTTTTTTTTTTTTTTTTTTTACTTCAATAAGCCCTAGTTTAGGCTCCTAGCTATAGTAAGCAGAAATAATCACGTGATCAGTGTTAGCTATCATCCAATCCTCATGGAATATCAGTCCACACAGATATCAGCCTTATGAAGCTAGCAGATCAATTCGTCTGTTATCCTGAGGGTGACTTGAAAAATCCATCTATTTCCATATTAGATTGTCCCTCTATTTCACTCCAATATTCTGAGAAGTTTATCTGATATGGACTTCTTGAACACAAACTCTGGAAAATCTATCTTTACTTGCATATGTTATCATTTATATGGAAAATGCTATGAAACTACAAAAAAGGAGAGAGAATTGATGTGGGGGTTTGCACTTAAACTCAAGATGTAAACATTTACTGGATTTTCATCTAGCGATAAATGACTGGAAGTTAAAAACCTAAAAATATTACTTAGGGATAAATGTTAGGCATATAAAACCTGGGCAACAAGTCCACAAAACTGAAATTAAAGAAGACATACAAAATTGAGATATATACCATGTTCATGGACTTGAAGACTTTATACAATTAAGTCAGTACTTTCTTGACTGATTTATAGATAGATTCAAGACAATCAAAATCTCTGTAAGAAACTTGTATACTTAAAAGCTGATGATATCTGATGTTGAAATATCTATAAGAACTCCAGAATGGCCAAAGCCATGTTGGAAGAGAAAGTAGAACCTCAAAGCTGAGCAATTCTTGATTTCAAAACTTATCACAAAGTGACAGCTATCAGGACAGCACAGTATTTGCATCAAGATAAACAAATAGGTTTATAGGACAGAATAGAATCCAGAAATAACCTGACATAGGCCAGTTGATTTTTTGACAAAGGTTCTAAGGTAGCTCAGAAGAGAATATAGTTTTCTCAACAATTGTGGAAGCAGTGGCCTTCTGAAGACCAATCACTTCTGGTCACAGAACCCCAACTCTTCATTTCTGTCTCCTGTGACCTTCCAGGCAGAATGATTCTTTGTTGAAAACAGCTCCTTCATTTTTCCTGGTTGGCCAGTCTCTTCAGTATTGTCCTACTTTTCAAATCTCTGATAGGGGTGTACTAAGACTGGTAGACTTTGCTGTGTTACACAGGCTGATAGAATTTGTCTGTTTCATTTGTACTTTGGTTTAGTTTCTTACTGCCTAGACTCCTGCATGTTCTTGGCTGGGGACTGGAGATAAGACAAGCAGATCTGCAACAGGAGTGAAGACTAAAATACTTAGGCAGCCCCCGCAGTCAGGATTTCTCTAGCCTCATTTTGAAGATTCTGTGGCTAATGAATAATAACGCCAGTCCTCTGGTCCTGCCTTTTTTCCTCTGGCTTCTCTGTTCACACTTTATAAAAGTAGTCTCACAGGAAAATGTTTCTCTCCCCTCAAGTTCAACTCCCTTCTTACACCCATTGTTCATCATCCTGAGATTTAGGAAAAATTTAAGCCTGATTATCCACCAAAATATTGAATAAAATATCAGGTTTGATTCATGCCTGTAATTATAGAACTCAGGGCAGAAGCAGAAAAATCAGACATTTAAGGTCATTCTTAGGCTATGTAACTAGGGATGGTTGAAAATGTGAACAGAGGAGAAAATCCAGGGGAGGGATATAGTATAAAGAAAGGCCCTGCAGTAGAGTTTAGCTTGGCTTTTCTGAGACATGTCTGTAAGTAGAGACATGTGGCTGCAGCAGAGAAAGAAAAGTGGCTCAGTTCAGAGACCACATGTGGTACCTGTGGGTCCTAAGGGCTATGGACCTGTGGATTTAGGGTTATTTGACCCTTTGTGAACAATACTCAAGGAAGTGAGGCAATTATGGACAGCTAGTGGTCTGTCCAACCCAAACTGGTTGACCTGAGATACTATCCCATCCTAAAAAGGATTCTACATCTTCAAAGAAGAAACAGATACAATTCAGTTGTCCATCTATCCCTAAATAACTCTGATTATGACAAGAATTCGAGCCCTGGGATAAGACTGCTGGATCTTTAGCTTAACCCTTCCTCTTACCTTTTCTTCTCTTTGCCTCACTTTCCCCGTTTATGAACCATTATGGATGATGGCTGTGATGAGCTTACATGAGTTACTCAAAGTAACCTGCTTAGAACTACATCAGACCCTTAATAAATGTTCAAGAGATATTAGGCATTATTCTGTTCCCAACCCCAAACAAAGATGTCCATGTCCTGATCTCAGGAGCTTGTGAATATGTTAGATGCCAAGGGGTGGGGTTACAGTTACAGATGGAAGTTGGGTTGTTACTTTGTCAGCTGACCTAAGCCTAAGGATCCTGGGTTATCTAAGTGAGGCCAGTCTAAGTATAAGGGTCATTGTATTAAAAGAGGGAGAAAAGTGCTGGAAAGATGGCTCAGTCAGTGAAGTGCTTGCTTTGCATGTACAAGGACCCAAATTTGATCTCCAGGACCCAATTTTAAAAAGTTCAGTGTACAAATGAGTCAACTATATTGTACCCCTCCCCTGAGGCTCAGGGGCCATTCAGAAGATGGGACACAAAGACTATAAGAGAACCCGAGTCAAACAGTATCTTCTGGGCCTGACTTCTGTACTCATAAACTCACAGTAGTTGTGACTGTGTGCATGAGCTCTAGCATTGGGCAGGGAGTGAATCATGAACCTTCTGAAGAGCTATTAACAATGATGGTTTCTGGAAGTACGAAAAAAAAATTAAAAAAGGACAAGAAGTTGAAATGTGGTTGGGAGAAATGAGTAGATCTGGAGGAGTTCAGGGGAGCATTGGAAGTGAATGTGATCAAAATGCTTTGTACGCATGTATGAAATTCTGAAAATAGTATCTATTTATATCTGTCTATTTATATCTATATAAAGATATATCTATGGATCTATAGGAACTATATATCTATATAGAGACATTTATCTATAGACCTGTAGATACATAGATCTATCTATATAGAGACATATCTACAGATCAATAGATGTGTCTCTATATACATATAGATACATATTACTTTGATAATATCTAGATAAATGATAGACAGATAGATAGATAGATAGATAGATAGATAGGCAGGCAGGCAGGCAGACAGACAGACAGACAGACAGAGTATAATGGTGCACTTGTTTTTCCAGCAAGGCAGATATAGGCAGATCCTGTAACCTCTAGAATTGTAAATAAGAGTAAATTACTTTGTTTAAGCTACTGATGTAATACTGTCATACCCACAACCGGAAACTAACACATCCCTGTGTATGGACCTTGTCTGCATGACCTCTAAGAGCAATGACTGTACAGGGTCCCACACTTTCTCAGTCTCAGTGTCTTCTGTAGGCAGAGACATCTGTCATGTGGAGGGGCCATTGGGACTTGGGATTGGATTGCTTTGGAGACTATACAGCCTTTGCACTAGACACTTGAGAATTAGTGGCTCACAATCCTCATTTAGTAGAATTCCCATCCGTCTCATTACCTGGATAGAAGGCTTGCATGGGAAGGCCATTTTATGCCATTTTATGCCAGAGAGAAACCAACTAAAGGAACAAAACGAGTTAACTCTTCTCTGTGTCCTGCTCCCATTTACA